CCAAGTCAACCAGTAAACCTTTTCCTACATGTGACTTTTACTAATAAAATTGAGCTGCCTGTGAGTTATCGTGAAGTCCTGTGCCTGGAACAAGCTCTCTTTCTCACCACACAGTTCTAACTTGGTTGTCAAGATAATTTCCAGGTGTGTTTTTGCCTCTGTTTTTCCGTGGTGGGAGAAGAAAGGGAAGCTTTGGGAGTGCTTGACATAGCTTCTCTCAAGTCTCTTTACTAGACAGACTTGTAAATACACCAGACCTTCTATTTCACTGTTAGTATTTCCGGTGTGGCCAGCTCATAGCGTGCTAGCCTCCACACATGAATTTTGCACTGACTACGTCACCTAAGATTCTGGTTGACCTGTGGCTGCGTTTCTTGGTAAGTTGGATCTAAAATGCCTGGTGACTCTTCACAAAATGCAGGCTTGTTTCTGTGCGCTGATACAACACATCCAAGAACAAACTAATCGTTTGCTAGTTTACTCTAATAACTAAACACAGTGTGTGTGGTCTTCCTCATCTTCTTCTAGTATCGCTAAGGACTTGAACATTTAGAAGAAAGACATTTTCTCTTAAGCCCAAGCCTCCCTGGATGAATGACATACACATGCTGGTCAGCATTTCCTGTCGTGCTGAGAGGCAGCTATTTGAACTAATGTGGGCAGCTTTGAACTAGGACTGGAGTTCAGATTGTCTGTCTCTGAGAAGTCTAACAGTTATTGAATAACTGGCTTTTTTCTTCCTACATCCTCTTTGGAATGTAACAATAAAATAATCTTCAAACCCCCTATCTGTGTCCACTCTCCAGCCTTTTCTCTTTCCTCTTGTGCTGTATGATAATCATAGTGACACAGAGACCTTTGGTGCCACGCTGTTTGAAAATGTGTTATGCAACCTAATCCTAAAACACTGACCCTGTAGTATGGTGTGTGGGTGCAGAGAGAATGGTGATGTATTCCTGGGTATATAAGTAGTCAGTTAAGTTGAGAGGCTTTACATTCATAAACCAGGCATGGTAGTGCTTGCCCATAATCCTAGCACTTGGGAGGTTGAAGCAAGAGGGTTGATTGGAATTCAGTCATCCTGGACTGTGATGAGACACATACATGCATACATAAATACATACATAATACATATATATGTATATATATATCAAGCATTTAATAGCAGTTCATAAAGGAGTGCTGATTCTGTGAAGTTCTTGCAAAAATCATATTACAGATACATTAAATGCATATTAACATACTGTTACATTAAATTCCTTTTTTCTTTTCTTTTTTTAGGTTTTTCAGGACAGGGTTTCTCTGTATTATTTTGAAGTTTGTCCTGGAATTTGCTCTGTAGACCAGGCTGGTCTTGAACTCACAGAGATCCACCTGTCTCTGCCTCCTAAATGCTGGGATTAAAGGCGTGCACCACCAAAGCTCAGCTACATTAAATTCTTGAGGATGAAAAATAAAAACTCTGGGGCTGGGGAGATGGCTCAGTGGGTAAAAATGCTTACCATACAAACCCAACAACTCTGAATCAAATCTCCAGGACCCAGATAAAAAAGCTGTTTGTGGTATTGTGAATGGCCAGTTGTCCCTCCTTATGCATTCTGACTCCAGCAAGGTGGAAAGGTAAGGACGACACCACAGGTTGTCCTCTGATCTCCACATGCATGTGGACCTGAACACACATGAAAGAAAGAAAACTGGGAATAAAGGGAACTTCCCTAACCAGATAAAAATTACAAACTGGATACAGTGGCTTTTACTGTAAGCCCAACATTTGGGAACCTGAAACTGGATAATCGCCAGGAGTTTTAAGACCAGCATAGCCTACAGATTGAGACTAATATCTCACGGGGAAAAAAACTTGAAAAATGTATAGCTAATGTATTGACTGATGAGAAGCTAGAAACCTTCCCCCGATGTCGTGTCCACCTTTTCACATCTCCCTAGAAGTCCCAGCTCATGCCATAAAACAAGGGGTATACAGAGTGAGTGGGGAAAGTGACACTGTTTGGAGATGACACTGCCTTCTAAGTCAAAAACCAAACAACACAACAAAACCCTCTGGAGCTAATAAGTGATTCCAGCAAGGTTTCAAGATTACAGTATGCAAGAGTCAGGTGCTTTCCTGCGTACAAGCAATGAACGAGTGGGATAGAATTTGAAATTTAAAAGTACAGCTGCGCCAAGGAGATGACTCAGCAGGTAAATGTGTTTGTTACCAAGCCTGATGTCCTGAGAATCTCTGGGACCCACTTGGTAAAAGACTGAACCAACTCCTACAAGTTGTCCTCTGAGCTCCACAGAGTGTACACACACACATACACACACACACACACACACACACACACACACACACACACACACACACACACACACACACACACACACCAATGCCCATAAACTACTTAAAAGGGGAAAGGGCTAGGGGTGTAGCCCAGTTGGTAAAGTGCTTGTCTAGAATGCATGAGGCCCCAGGTTTGGGCCTCAATACAAAAATCAGGTGTGGTAGTGCATGCCTGTAATCTCAGTACTTGGTAGTACTGAGAACACATATGGATTCCACAGGTACCAGCTGTACACATGGTGCACAGACATACAAGCAGGCAAAACACCCATGCACATAAAATAGCAAATCTTTTAAAAGAACATAAAAAATAAAATAGTGTCTTGTGAAACAAACTAAAAATAAAATGAATATTTAAAATAAGATTTAATTTTAATTACAGATGGGGCAGGAGCCATGAGAAAGATCAGGATTCTCTCTGTGCAACCCAGGAGGGGCTGTTCTCCTGGCTCACCTTGCTTCTTTGTAGTTAAACTAATCATCTTTAGTCTGGACCAGAAGGAACATTGTATTCCTTCAGGGAAGCTCCACAGGCCCTGAGTAGATAGCAACAGCTGCCAGAGAAAGCGAGCTCCACCCACATGTGGCTCATCTTCCCAAGCCTTGAACGATGGGAGAACTAGTCAACCGGCCTTTGAAGAGCCCTGGGCTAATACAGAGGCCAAAGGCTGAGAACTGCTTTTATCTCAAACAGGAGTGAGATCTTGGAAAGTGTCTTTACAGCAAGTTGCTATTCTGGGCATTGATATCACAGAAAACTTAGCTCAAAAACTGAATCTAGAAGAAGATAGAGTCCAGATTTGGTTCCTGTCTGTGTGCAAAGCTGAGATGGTCTCATAGAAAATTGTAGGCTCTCATGTAGCCCAGCCTGCCTTCAAACTCAACACATAGCTGAGGATAATGGGAAACTTGTGATCTTCTTGCCAATGCTTCTCAAGTGTTGGGGTCACAGGAGTGTATTGTCATGCCCAGTTTTGTCTGGTGCTGAGGTTCAAACCCAGGGCTTCTTATATGCTAGGCAAGTACTCTACTAATTGAGCCACACCCCCAGTGCAAGAATAGAGTTTTTTAAAAGATGTATTGATTTATTACATATACAGTGTTCTGCCTACATGCCAGAAGAGGGAACCAGACAGATTAAATTGTAGATGGTTGTGAGCCACCATGTGGTTGCTGGGAATTGAACTTAGGACCCCTGGAAGAGCAGTCAGTGCTCTTAACCTCTGAGCCATCTCTCAGCCCCAAGAATAGAGTTTTTTTTAATGATGAAAAGAATGTCAACATAAGTCTCCTGGAATACACAGAAAAGCAGATATGCAATTGCAAAGCATGAATTAATGGAAATATCAAATGTTTTAAAATGTTATGTTGGGCTGGACATGATGGTTCACACCTTTAATCCCAGTACTTGATAAGCAGAAGCAGGTGGATCTCCATGAATATGAGGACAACCCAGTCTATGGAGTGAATTCCAGCCAGTCGGGACTTCATAGTCTCAGTAAAAAATCAAAGTAAACATTAGGTATTGGGGCTGTGTCTTAGTTAGGATTACTAATGCTATGATGACACACCATAACCAAAAGCAAGATGTATCACTGCTCACCACTGAAGGAAGTCAGGACAGGAACTCAAGCAGGGCAGGAACCTGGAGGCAGGAGCTGATGCAGACGCCATGGAGGGCGCTGCTTACTGGCTTGCTCCACGTGGCTCACTCAGCCTGCTTTCTTATAGAACCCAAGTCCACACTCCACCACACACAATAGGCTGAGCCCTTCCCTATAAATCACTAATTAAGAAAATGCCTTACAGCCAAATATTATGGAGGCATTTTCTCAATTGAGGCTCCTTTCTTTCCAGGGGCTCTAGCTTGTGCCACGTTGACATAAAACTAGCCAGCACAGGCTGGAGAGGTGGCTCATGAATAAGAGCTCTTGCTGCTCTTGCAGAGGACCCAAGTTCAGTTTCCAGAACCACCTGTAACTCCAGCTCCAGGGCATCTGACACCTTCTTTTGGCCCCCACAAGCATCAGCACTCAGGTGCACATACCCACACACAAATGCACAGAGACATATAAATAAAAATGTAAATTTAAAAAATATTAGGTTTTCCTTCTTGCATTTAATCTAACACAGCAATGTTATATTTGGTTATTTTTAATTGAAATGAAGATCTTTCTTATTTTAATAAATATTTTCAGAAATCCCAGCTTTTTATCTTTTTGTGTGTATGTGTGCATGTGTGTGTAAGCTGTGTGTGTGTGTGAGAGAGAGAGAGAGAGAGAGAGAGAGAGAGAGAGAGAGGGAGGGAGGGAGGGAGAGAGGGAGGGAGGGAGGGAGGGAGGGAGAGAGAGAATGTGTGTGTGTGCCAGGTACCCTTTATCACTCTACACCTTGTTCCTTTGAGGCAGGGTGGCAGGGTCCTTCATTGAACCTGGAGCTAGTCTGGTGACTGGCCAGCAAGCCCCATTGACCCTCTTGTCTCTACCTGACTATCCCCCAGCACTGGGGTTATAGGTACACACATAACCACCTTTGGCTTTTTAATGTGTGTTCTGGGAGATTTGAACTCAGGTCCTTATACTTGTGAAGCAAGCACTCTTACCTGATGAGCCATCTCTCCAACCCCTTCAAACACAATTTGAAACACAATATGCTTAACTATATTATAGAATATGTTTTATTCATGACTTTCAAGTTTCTGTTGCGTTAAGGAAGCAGCAAGAACTTCTCCCCACATATAAAACTAAGTAAGCACTTGTAGTATGCCAATTCCTTGTTTGTTTTAAAGGAACTTATTTTGCCAACGTAGCACTATCAAAGTATCAGCACTCAGGGTCATGTCACTGTGTTGCATTACCCAAAAGACTTCATTCTGCAAAGGTTACATGGTCCTTCTTAGTTCTGGTCTGTCTGAAAAAATATCAACAATATTATGAGACTATTGTATCTTTCATAAATGATTTTACATAAAACCATAGAACCTGGGTGAATGGGGGCACCCTCTAAACAAAAGGATCCATCCCAAGTGTCCAGTTTCATAGGCAAACCTTTCAGCTTAGATTCTCAGGTGCTGTCATAGCTCCATAGTAGGTAGAAATAAACAGCTAAACCAGAGCCAGCCGGTTCTGTTTAACCGTAAGCTACTTTGCATATTTTCACTAAATGACTACCTATAAGTCAAGTTCAGCCAGACTCAGCCCCAAATACAGCATCTTGAACTACAAAACAGGTAAGAGACGCTTCTCCATAGTGATCCACAGGGAGACTACAGGATTCTTAAGGAAAGCCCCAGGCACAGCTGATAAATGTTGCCATCAATAGGATGCTATTGTCTTAAGAAGCCGATGAGGACCCATATAACCAAAGGCCCAGATCTTCCCGGTGAGGAATCTGATGAACTCAGGTTCTGGCACCTGGCAACAGCATTGCTGCTGACTTTGAAGCTGTAGCAATTCATCATAGCCTCTGAGGAGGGAGGGAAAGAAGGCATCTCTTGGCTTCCCCCTAGCTCTCATATCCCAAGATTCAATTGTATGTGCAATGGTGGCATTTTATTTTGTACATTCCAAATTGTTTTATATTATGAAAGTTGATGTTTTCATGCTCAGTCAGTGGAGCATCAAGAACCTCTCAGGATTTTATCATTAAGACCTTATTATTAATTTCCCAGAAGAGCTCTAAGACAGAAACCTGAGATGCTCCCAAGGTAGGTGTGTTCATCAGCCACGAGTGTATTCAGAAGCCTGGAATAGTAGCATAAATCCACTGCTTTCCTTTGAGATAAACTTGTGCTCAATTCCCTCATACACTCTCCCAAACCACACTAGGCTTCTGGTCTTTACCCTCTTCAAGGCTGCACGCTTTCATCTTCCTAAATTTTATTTGTAAATTCTCCTGCATGAATGAAAAGTGACCACACTAACTGCCCCTGCATGAGGGAGGGCTTCTTGGAAATGCTTGCTAGAAAAGCCTCCTCATCAATGTGTCTTCAGACATTCCATGCTCTAAGAATTATTAAAATCTCATTAAAACTTAGACTCTCAATTACCTGTGTGGCATATACAAATTACTCAAGATTTCATCTGGGTCAAGAGCTAAGATATGATTTAAATTATTCTTCAGGGTAAAACCATGACTCAAAATAAAAATTCGGCCTAAGTGGCTTTGACAACATCTGCTTACTTTTGAGGAACCTGACTGTTCTGGTTTCATCTTGGTTGCTGTGATTAAAAACACTATGAACAAAAGCAACTTAGGGGAGAAACGGGCTTATTTCAGCTTACAGTTACCGTCCATCATCCAGGGAAACCAGCGCTGGGGCCCAAGGAGTAGGAACTTGAGGCAGAGACTATGTAGGGTCAGCTGCTTACTGGTTCCCGCTCGGGCTCGCTGGCTCGTACTCAGTTAGCTTTCTTCTGCAGCCCAGGATCCCCCGCCCAAGAAATGGTGCCACCCACAGTGGGGTAGGCCCCTGCACCAATTAATAGTCAAGACAATATCAAGGGGCTGGAGAGACGGTTCAGCTACTATGAGCACTTGCTACTCTTGCAAAGAACCTGGGTTTGGTTCCCTGCAAAGACATCAGGGCACACCCAACTGCCTGTAACTCAGGTTCCAGAGAATCTGACACCCTCTTCTGGCTTCTGTGGATACCAGGCACACATGACATGTGGTGCACATACATACATGTAGGCACTCATACATAAAATATGAAAAACAATACAGACACTACCCGAGTACAGGCCCACAGTCCAATCAAATGTAGACAATTATTCTCTCGGGTGACTCTAGTATGTGTCAAGGTGATAGTCAAAACTAGGACAGTGGTATGGTTTCATTTAACTTGTCAGCTGTAGGCAAAAAGGCCATTATCAAAAATAGGTGGTGCAGGCTGTATTCCCATTTGCCAGTTGTTGTGTTTTGACAGTGTTTCATGAATCTCAGGCTAGCCTAGGATGACCTTAAACTTCTGGTTCATTTGGGCTTTGAATCCAGAGCTGAGCTGCATGCCCTGTCCCCATTTGCGGGATTTGTGGCTTTGTCATACCTGCCCTTTTCTCTTAGCCTCTAAGAATTCCTGGCTTGGGAATTTCCTAACTAGTTTCCTCTGTCAGCGACTTTTTCTTTTTGACAGAATTTTGGCTCCTGTTTAATCTTCCAGAGATTTGTGTCTTAGGTTAGTTATTTTGGGTCATTTGGTCAGTAATTTGGACTCTCCCACTTCCTGTCCCTCTGTTTTTAGTTGGCACTCCATCAATTATCCTCCCCCAGTCTCTTTAGAGCGTGCTATTCCAGGCATCCACTCCTTTTCCAGTCAGTCCCACTATGGCTTCCCGCAACCCTTCCCCTTCGTCACCTGCCCTGCAGCCCGCAGTCCCTGCAGCCATTTCTGATTCTAGTTTCTTACCTTTTGAGAGGCCATACCCAGACCTTTGCACAAAGATTGAAACACGCTAGAATTTGGTTTAAAGGCCATTCCTTCCATCATCAGGCAGGATCTGTAGAGTTCCTGCTATGCTCAGGTAGAGAGGATCCAGTGCCAGGTTGGGTTTGGTAGCACACGCCGAGGGTCCAGCCTCAGCCATCTAACAAACGTCAGGCAGCAGATACACAGCGAGACCCAGTCTCAAAAATCCAAACAAATGGAGAGAGCGGCACCAGCGTTATCTAGGCTTGACTATAAACATTTAGTTTGTTTGCTTTTGCTTTGCCTCTTTTTTGTTTGGAATGCCAAGCCCGTGACTCCTAAAGACACTGGGAAATTACTCCCTGAGAAGTTGCCCAAGAGCTGCTGATCTGCTGTCTGAGGCCCATGGTAGATCACCTGTGCTGTAATCATAGACGTGCTGAGACCTCAGCAACTGTGCTCTGAAGACACTGATGTTTGACTCTCCACTGTGGGCGAAATATAAGCTGGGTTTTCTATGAGGTGCAGAGAAAGGGAGGCTCCATAAGTATCCATCTGGGAAGAAAAAGAAAACCAACTAATTCCGGGATGGATGCCACGCTTGAATTTTAAAATGCAAACCTCTTAACCACTGCAGGGTAGTCAATACTTCTAGAGGACATAGGAAGCAAGGGAGGCTCAGAGAGGCTTAAGAAACTTTCCCGAGGACACAGAACAAGGGAAAAGTAAAATCAAGATTGAGCCCCTAAAGGATTTACAGTGGAAATGCAGGCACTCCTTCCCTGCCTCCTAGGTAACTGGGTAACAAAAGTGTCCCTAGAATATCCATTGAGGCTACTCTATACAGCCAAAGTCCAAAAAGTAATGCCCTTTGCTGATCATGTGCAAGGCCCTGGATTCAGTGCCTGGTATCACACACACACACACACACACACACACACACACACACACACACACACACACACACACACGGGAGGGGGTGTGATAAAATTCTTGAAGAAGGAGAGAGAAAAGGGAGAGTTCCTTCCCCCTCCCTCTCCCCTTCTCTGCCTCTTTCCCTCCCTCCTTTTCTTTCTTGTTAGTGGTTTTACTATACAGCCCTGGCTGCCTTTGAACTCACAGCTACTCTCCTGCTTCAGCCTGTGTGGTGCTAGAATTACAAGTCTCAGCCCCCACCCCAGCACCTCTACACAAGTGACTATAACCCTGCTTACTTTTCTGTGCGAGTCCCCAAACTAAGCAGATGTCTGTAAGACATGAATCTCGAAGAAAGTAGACCAAACCTGCTCCTTTTGAATTTGGCCAAACTGATAAGCACGCCTCTGTTTCTAGGTGAAAGAGGAAACGATGGACTCTAGAAGCTACTCCAGCCCTCCAGACAGGCTCTCCGTCTTCTCTGAGTCTGCCCACTTGCCACCGTCCAGGCCGTTTTACTTGGACCCCATGGTCACTGTCCACCTGTGCCCAGAGGCCCCCGTGCCTCCCGTTTACACGGAGGAGTTGCCTCTGCTGCCCTTTTCCAGTGATGCTCTGATCATGGACAATTATGGGGACCCGTACGCCTTCCCCTTCCCCATGCCTTATGTCAACTACAGGCGCTGTGACTACGCCTACGGGCCAGCCTTCATCCGCAAGAGGAACGAGCGTGAGAGGCAGCGAGTCAAGTGTGTGAATGAAGGCTATGCCCGGCTGCGGCGCCACCTGCCCGAGGACTACCTGGAGAAGCGACTCAGCAAAGTGGAGACCCTCAGAGCTGCCATCAAGTACATCAGCTACCTGCAATCTCTCTTGTACCCAGATGAGACTGAGACCCAGAGGAACCCTGGCACCACCAGCTGCGGCCCCCAAGAGCCCTCTCTCAGAGTCATTTGAGTTGGCGCCTTCCAAAATGGGGTGGGTCTCCTACAGCAGCATCCAGTAGATTGTCACATGCATGGTTTTGAGGAGAGGACAACAGAAGTCCCACTACCAGTCTTCATTAAACGTTGCTTACCTGGGTTTCAGATGTACTGAAGTATCTCACGTGGACTGAGAATCTCAAGCTGGCCTCACCACTCTAAGACCGCTGAGGGTACAGAGTTCCCAGGGGTCTATGCACCTCCCACCCCATCCTTCTTCCAGCCTTGGTCAAAGGATCTCTCCAAAGAATGGAGAGGCTGAAGCGTGACTACTCAGTGATTGTCTCACACTTGGTAAATACTTGTTGCTACTATTTTCCTGTCACCTGTGTCTGGTCCACCCTTAATTTTCATCCCGGACTCTGCTCTCAACCAGCTCTACCCTCATTTTGTGAAGTCTTTTTGTGCATATGTGCATGTCCTGTAAGGCAATGTGTGTATATGTGTTAATTCTTAAAACATCATTGCTCAAACCGATGGCTACCTTTTGATGACTACCTAAGAAGGTTCCCACTTAGTTTATTACTTTGTGGTTTGTTTGGTTTTGTTGCTCTTACTATGTATCTCTGGCTGGATTCTATCTAACTCACAGAGCTCTACCTGCCTGTGCTCCCGAGTCCTAGGATTAGAGGCATGTGCCATCATGCCTGGCTCTACTTGGCTTTCAAAGCTCTGACATCCCCACAAGAGGGAAATCACAGTTTTGCAAACACATCCTTCTCTCTTTACTCTTCCATTCTAACTTGGAATATTGTCCCTGCCACCACTGAAATCCCACGGTCTCACTTGGTAATCCTTTCTGGCTGCCCCCTTCACTAGTCTTTTTTAGACTGAGTCAAGGCATGTGTCTGGGCCATAGTCAATCTGGTGACTGCAAAATTAGTTCTGTGAGAGCATCGTCACAAAAGGCACTTGGAGTTGCCACAGAAAACTCAACCTAAACTGTCACAACCAATAGAGAATGTATCCCCTCATCTAACCGAAGGACTGAACACTCCAACAACCCATCATTTAAAATCTCTCTCCTCTCCCTCCCTCCCTCCCTCCCTCCCTTCCTCCCTCCCTCCCTCCCCCCTTTCTCTCCAGCAAGAAGTACAGGGAGCTGGAGAGATGACTAAGGGGTTTAAGAGTACTTGCTGCTCTTGCAGAGGACCCAGGTTTGGCTTCCAGCATCTACATGACAGCTCACAACTGTCTACAACTCCAGTTTCAGGGGATCCAAAAAAGCCTCTTCTGGCCTCTGCAGGCACCAGGCATGCCTGTAGTGCAGAACACTCATACATATAAAACAAATATAAATGAACTTTTTAAAAAGTCAGTTCAGAATACACTGTGGGGGAGAAGTGGGCTTCTTGAACTAGAGTGCCCAAGAGCCTAGGTCTATCTCTATGATTTTCTAGGGAGATAGCTAGCAGAATCTTCTAGAATTAGATGCCTCCTTATTCCTACACATGAAGAAGAGAGTCTGTATACAACATTCCCAGTCACAGTCTTGAGACTCATCATATACATGCTTTCTTGAGTCTTCTCCATTAAGCACCATGACTGCCTCAACATACGGGCATAGGAACAGAATCTGGACTTTATTTTTGGTTTTTCAAGACAAGGTTTTTCTGTGTATCTCTGACTGTACTGGAACTCTCTCTGTAGACCAGGCTGGCCTAGAACTCACAGAGATCTGCCTGCCTTTGCTGGGATTAAAGACACCAATGAACCACCACTGCCTGGTCTTCTTATTGCTTTTAAAAATGATTTTTTAATTTTATGTGCGCTGGTGTTTTGCCTGCGTGTATGTCTGTGTGAAGGTTCAGAAGCCATGGAACCGGAGTTACAGACAGTTGTGAGCTGCCATGTGGGTGCTGGGAATTGAACCCAGGTCCTTTGGAAGAACAGTCACTGCTCTTAATTGCTGCACATCTCTCCAGCCCCAAGGAATCTGGACTTGTATTCCTTTGGTCACCAGTCTGCGCCCCATACTTCCACGGCTCACATACTTCTATTCCTTTAGAGAAAGAGTTCCTCTTGTTACAAATATGCCCACACCTTTCGTGTGTGTGTGTGTGTATGTGTGTGTGTGAGTGAGTGAGAGAGAGAGAGAGAGAGAGAGAGAGAGAGAGAGAGAGAGAGAGAGAGAGAGAGAGAGAGAGAATGTGTGTGTGGGCACATGTGCCTGTGGAGGCTAGAAGGTGTCTTCTTCTGCCTACACTCCCCCTTTTTGAGGCAGGATCTCTCATTGAACCCAGAGTCCCCATTTTGGTTCAGTAGTTGACCATTAAGCTCTTCCTTCCATGCTAGGGCTGTAAACCCAGCCAAGTGGGTGCTGAGGATCCAAACACAGGCCTTAATGCTTGTACAGCAAGCAGTTTACCCGCTAGCTGTCTTTCTAACCCTAATGCTATTTTGTTTTCAACTATAAGGAAGAGTCCCTAGGCTACTCAGTAGCTTCCCAATCCAGCCTCCTGCCTTCACTAGGTCTGATAGACAGCCCTTACTCAGTCTTTGTAGAGCTCAGTACCCCCTCACTGGACTCCCCAACATTCCTAAGAGGCTCTCACTGTAAGAAAGCAACCCTTGAGATAAAGCGAGAATACAAATTTGGCCTAATTCCCACACTTTACCTCAAATCTAAGTCTCTCAATGCTCAAGTCACCCTCTGCACATGCCCAGTACCCTCCCAAGCCTTGTGTTGCCTGCTGGATCACATCCATAGCAACCTGCTTGGAAACCTGCCTGGGAACCAAGAGTTGTTGGGCCAAAGCCATGAGTGCCAACTGTCAGATGGGGCTGAGACTGGGACAAGGCCGTGGCCTGGGCTGGATTTGGGGTGTTAGGTAAGTCCCTTTGTTATCAGACCTGTGACTTTGGGCCAGGATAGACCCTAACAAACCTTAGGTGGCTGCTAAGTCCACAAAGGGAGGAAGGGAGTCAGCGGCTGCTGGTGGGGGTCAGGGGGGCAGCGGGGTGTGTAAAGAGAGAGGGCATGCTCCAGGGGTTCTAGCCACTGGGGAGGAGGAAGGAGGTGACGCCCCTTGGGAGCTGAGCTGCCAGGTGCTTCTCGTGACTCATCTCTGCAGCGGTAACAAGCTGCGAGCACGCAGCTCTGAAGGAGGATAACGTGGGCTTGCTTTAAGCTTCTAGCTTCAGTTCTTTCAGCCCTTCCTCGTTCCTGAGGGACATTCCCAAAGGGGAAACTCTGGGTGTGTGCGCGCGCACCCTGGGGAGTGTCCTCTGCCCCGCTGAGACTACAACTGTGATGCCTGTGTTTGCTCCAGGTGGGTGCTCTGAAGGTCATGCATCCCTCTAGCAAGCCTGAGCTGCGTCTGCCCAAATACTGCAGCGTGGCCACAATCCGGAAAGCCCCTGACCCGGACGGTGCTGCATCACCCTGGGACCTCCCCTTCACCTGTCCCTTTGCCAGGAAAGCACCCTGGCTGCCCATCAGCTGCACACTCACCAGGTACCAGCTTCTGTCCTCTGCCCTTCCTTTCTCCTCTCTTCCTGGTCCTAATAGCACTTGAGAGTCCTCAAATGCCTCCAGAATAGCATCTTTAGTAGCTGTCTAAAGTGTGGCTAGGAGATGGCAAGGGAACTTCAGTCTGTAGCAAGTTCCAGGGACCAGTCTGTCTGGGACAGGGAAACGCCAGCCCAAATGCTCAATATGGGTTTTGCCTGCATATGTCTGTGTACTACATGCATACAGTACCTGCAGATACCAGAAGAGGGCAGCAGATCTGGAGTTACAGCTGCAGGAAATCCTAGTCCTCTACAAGAGCAACAGGTGCTCTCTCTTCAGGTCATTGCTCAAGCTCCTCCTCCTCCTCCTCTTCTCCTCCTCCTCCTCCTCCTCCTCCTCCTCCTCCTCCTCCTCCTCCTCCTCCTTCGTGTTTTGCTGTACTGTAGACCTCTCGAACTCACAGAGATCCACCTGCCTCTTCCTCCTGAGTGCTGGGATTAAAAAGGTGTGCACCACCACCACCACCTGTCTCAAGTTCTTAATTTATTTGTTTGAATCACCTTGTTCAAAGACAATGTAAGTTCTTTTGTTGTTGTTTTGGCTTTTCGAGACAGGGTTTCTCTGTATTGTTTTGGAGGCTGTCCTGGAACTCACTCTGTAGACCAGGCTGGCTTCGAGCTCACAGAGATCTGCCTGCCTCTGACTTCCGAGTGCTGAGATTACAGGCATGCGCCACCACTGCCTGACTCAAAACAGCTTTTTCAAAAGCCCAGACTCTCTTGGACTGGAAAGATTACTCAGCAGTTAAGGGTGCATACTCATTCTCATGGAAGACCTGAATTCAATTCCTAGCACCCAGATCAGGCGCCTGCAACTCCAGCTCTAGGGAATCTGAACACATATACTTCAAAGAGTCAAAATAAATATTTGAAGAAAAAATAAAACTCTAAAAGACCAGACTCCCCCATTCTGCAACTGCCCCAGGCCAGAGAGTCCTAAGAGTTGGCCTTCCTTCCGCTCCTCCTCAGCCCCTCGTGAGCTCCTTGGCTGCCCCAGATCCAGGGCTTCCACATTCCCCTGACCCCTGGAGCCAAATGACTTAAGTTTGGTTCCCCTGTCACCTTGTTACCTCATCCTAGAGCCCCACACCATCTTTTGAGCATTGATAAACACACGTATACAAGCAGATTTAATTTTGGTTACCCGGAAACAATGTGCAGTCCAAAAAAATGCCCTCTGTGCCCTTCGTTTCTGCTAACTTCAGTTTAGTTGGTCTTTCAGGAAGGCACAGATTGCCATTTTCCCTGGGTTTCTGTTGCATACACCCTTGTGCAGTGAGCCTCCTCAGATCAGACCCCGAGTGAGGCATGTATCTTAACTGGTTTTGTTTTGTATTCATATATTTATCTAGGTGGGGACGCGCTATAGCTCACATGTGGCGGCCAGAGGACAATCAATGGGAGTCAGTTTTCTCCTTCCACCATGTAGGATCTGGGGATTGAACGCAGACTGTCAGGTTTGGTGGCAAGCACACCACCCCCTGAGCCATTTCTATGGTCTATTGATGTTTTTAGGGTTCTTAGCCCTTGATTTCATTTGCTTTTCCCAGGTGTGCCTCTTGTCACCCATGTTCCCGTACTGCTGATGCACCATGGCAAGGGCTCAGTTGGCTGGGAAGAGTCGGAGATGCTGCTGGCCCCTGGGTCCTGGCCAGGAGGGAACCGGATGGCTTTTACTATCTGGCTCAGATAAAGGCTGCCCCAGAGGCAAGTGCTTCTCCCCATCAGCTCCCCACACGCTCCTCTGAGTGGCCCTTTGCACCCGCTGTGTCTGAGCTGTGCACATTCGGAAGTTTGGTTTCTCGGCTAAGTTGTTAGGGCTGAGTGATGAAGCACTGCAAAACAGGCAGCTTAAACAACAGAAACCTATTGTTTGTTTCAAGTTCGGTTCTTTGGAAGGGCTACGAGGAAGAGCCTGTTTCTTGCCCCTCTTGTAGTTTCCAGTATTTACTCAAAATCGTGGGGTTTCCTTAACTTGGAAGAAGCATCACCCCGACCTCTGGCTTCAATTTAACATGGCTTTCTTTATTAACTATTCAAATTTCCTCTTTCCCAAATTTATGTGTCCATGTATCTCTGTGTATGTACATATACATATGCCAGAATAGGGGGTTGGATCTCCTAAAGCTGGGCCTACAGGTAACTGTGGCCCAATGTGGATGCTGGGATTCGAACCCAGTTCCTCTACAAGAGCAGCAAATGTGCTTAACCACTTTGCAATCCCTCCAGCCCCTCAAATTTCCTCTTGGCATAAAGACATCAGTCAGATTAAGGGCCTGCCATGCTCACTGTGTCCTCATCTTAACTAATTATACCTGCAACATCCCAATTCCCAAAAAGAGATTGCATGCTGGACACTGGGACAAAGGCTTGAATACATCAACTTGCAGAAAGGGGAACACAATTTATCCCTTAATGGTGAGAAAAATGTAATTAGTTGTTCAGGAAGATTCGGTGTTTGAATTATGGGCATGAGCCTGAGAGAAAGGGATAGTGATATACAATCTTCCATGCAAGCACACTTGCTCTCACACACAAAATCTTGTTCCTGAAAGGCCAGGTGCCAGCTCGCCAGCTCTCTCTCTCTGTCTCTGTCTCTCTATGTTTCTCTGTCTCTCTGTCTCTATGTCTCTCTGTGTCTCTGTCTCTGTCTCTGTCTCTCTCTCTGTCTCTCTCTCTCTCTCTCACCCTAGTTGTCCTAGAACTTACTCTGTAGACCAGGCTGGTCTCAAACTCATGGAAATCCACCTGCCTCCACCTCCCAGGTGCTGGAATTAAAGGTACTTGTATTTTTGTATTTTTTAAATTGCCAGTATGTAGCACATGAATTGCTTATCACATTTAACATAAGGACAAATTATGAAATGCTGAAGAGTGAACCTCTAAAGCCACCCAGCTTGGGCTTCTCTCTCTGTCCTGCAACTTACTTTGCAGACCAGGATGGCCTTAAACTCACAGAGATCCATCTACCTCTGCCTCCCTAGAGCTGGGATTAAAGGCATGCACCACCATCACCTGGCTTGGGCTTCTGTTTTTTTTGTTTTTTGTTTTTTTGTTTTGGTTTTCCGAGACAGGGTTTCTCTATATTGTTTTGGAGGCTGTCGGTCCAGCCTGGCCTCGAACTCACAGAGATCCATCTGCCTCTGCCTCCCGAATGCTGGGAATAAAGGCGTGCGCCACCACCACCCGGCTTGGGCTTCTATTTTTAAAATTAGTTTTATTTAATTTCATGTGTGTGTTAGTCTGCGTGAATGTAAGTGTACCATGTGCATGTAATGCTAACTGAGGCCAGAAGAGGGCACTGGATTTTCCGCCAGAACTGGAATTACAAACAGTTGTGAGCTGCACTGTGAGAGCTGGGAACCAAACTTGGGGTCTTTGCAAGAGTAGTAAGTGATCTTAGTCATTGAGCCATCTCTTGGGTCCCAAGTTTTAATTTTTGACATAGGACCTCATGGATCCTAGGATGCCTTGAACTTTGAACTTCTGATCCTCTAGCCTTTGCCTCTCAGGTGCTATGGTTATATATTGCACTACCAGGCTTGGCTTGTGCAGTGCTGGGGATTGAGCCCAGGTCTTCTACGTACTGAGTATGCACTCTCCTAACTACCTACATGGTTGTGTGTGTGTGTGTGTGTGTGTGTGTGTGTGTGTGTGCATGCTTGTGTGTGTACATGCCATGGCATGTGGGTCATAGGGCACCTGGGGGAGTCAGTTTTCTCCTTCTGTCATGTGGGTCCTGGGAATCATCTCAGGTGGTCAAGTTTGGCTGCAAGCACCTTTCCCCACTGAGCCATCTTGCTTGCCCCATCTTTTTGTTTTCTTCAGACGGGGTCTCAGTCTGTAGCCTCAGCTGCCCTGGCACATGGCCTGGAACTCAGTATAAAACCCAGGCTGCCCCCAAACTCAATAGCAATTCTTCTGCCTCAGCCTCTCGTGCTGAAATTATGGGTATGCATCGCCACCCTCTGTTCTCATTTTATTTCAAAAAAAATTTCTTTAAGATTTATGTGAGCCAGGCGTTGGTGGCGCACGCCTTTAATCCCAGCACTGGGGAGGCAGAGGCAGGTGAATCTCTGTGAGTTCGAGGCCAGCCTGGTCTACAGAGCGAGTGCCAGGACAGCCTCCAAAACTACACAGAGAAACCCTGTCTCGAAAAAACAAAAACAAAACAAACAAACAAACAAAAAAAAAGATTTATGTGAATGAGTGCTTTGTTTATGTGGTGGTTTGGATGAGAATGGCCCCCTTAGGCTCATATATTTGAATGCTGGTCTCTAGTCGGTGGAACTGTTTGGGAAGGATTGGAAGGTGTGGCCTTGTTGGAGGGGGTGTGCCCTTGGAGTGAGCTTGAGGTTTCAAAGCCTGTACCCTTCTTAGCTCCCTCTGCCTTGTACTTGTGGACTGAGATGTAAACTCTCCGTTTCTGCTTCAGCACCGTCCTTGCCTGCTTGCTGCTATGTTCCCCGCCATGATGGCCATGGGCCTTCACCCTCTAAAACTGTAAGCCCAGTAAACACTTCCTTTTCTAAGTTGCCTTGGTCATGGTGTTTTATCGAAGCATTAGGACAGTAACTAAGACAGCCTGCGTATATGTATGCACATCATGTATGTATGCCGGGTGCCCACAGAGGCCAGAGGAAGGTGTCAGATCCACTGGGACTGGAATTATGGATGGTTGTGAGTCTCCATGTGAGCACTGGGAGCCAAACCATGGTCGTCTGCAAGGGCAGCCAGGGCTCCTGACTACTGAATCATGTCCTTAGCACCTAATGTCAAATCTTACTCTATTTTCTTTCCCGTAGCTGGAGAGGCGGGGGGCCTTGGTTGTGGAATTTGAGGCTCCCCTTGTCACAGGCCTAAAGCTGCCAGCCCAGCAACGGAGAGTGGTATTTCCAGAAGATGTCATTCAGTTCTCACCATCCGTGGCACACTCACTGCAACCTGGTGACAAGGTGCTGGCACCTTTGGAATCAGAGCAACAACAGTTTGGCCCTGCCACTGTTCTCTTGGGCTTGAAGAAACAAAAAGGCCAAACAGGTGAGGGAGCTACTGTGGTCCTCCATCCTCCAGAGGGCACTGCGGTGGTCCTGGCTCAGCTGTCACAGCAAACAGAACCCTTATACCCCACAGTGGCAGCGGATCTGTAGTCCTGTCTTCCAGGATATGTTATGTTTAGTATCATGGAGGACAGAAGCTGGCAGGGTGGCTTGTGTCTGTAATGCTAGCACTTAGGAAGCTGAGCCAGGATTGCTGTAAGTTTGAAGGCAGACTAGGCTAGAGAGTAAGAGTGTCTCAAAAAAAACCAAAAAGTGGGGGCTGGAGAGATGGCTCAGTAGTTAACAGCACTTGTTATCCTGGCAAAGGACCCAGATTCATTTCCCAGCACCCACTTGGAGCTCACATCCTTCTGTAACTCCAACTCCAGGGCACCCAATACCTTCTTCTGGGCACTTATACACATAGAATAAAAATTAATATAAATATTTAGAAAACAAAAGCAAAGCAACAAGAATCAAGAGAAACAACAGAACCACCACGTCTATGTAGATTCCCTAAACCATCACATGAGCTGGCTGTGTGTCACGTGTCTATAGTTCAGCACTCAGTGGGCTGAAGCAGGGGGATCATGAATCTGAAGGCAGCTTGGGCTACATAACGAGACCTATCTCAAACACTCAAACCAACAAGCCCAACAGAAGCATCGTTCATTATGTGTGGTGGTGGAGGGGAGAGTATTCTAATCACGGGGACGCGCCTCCCGTCACTACGGTCCTCTTGCGCCAGCCAATCAGCGCAGCTGTGTTTAGACAATGATACAAAGCCTGTGCTGAGGCTGCATTTTGGTTCTGCATGAAAACCATGTCCCTCCAGGTCATCTTTAGCCCAGGAGGCGCCAGTGAATCCTCCAGAACTGGTGGTAGGTGTGGTATGGGGGAAGGGACATTCCCACAGGCACATGAGGAGCCAGGACGAGCAGAGGGATGGGGCTGAGGCTTTTGGCTTTGGGGATAGGGAAACCTTTATTCCAAAGAGCCAGGGATTATAAAAAAAAATGTCTCCCATTTCTGTTCGTAGCATCTAAAGAAGAAGAAATCACTGTTCACTTCTGGAATGGCAAGATGGCTAAGGTTCCTCTAGACAGGGTCAGGTGGGTGTCCCTCACTGTCTGGAAGAAGGCTGTGGAGAGACTACAAACACCTCACACCGGGGAGTACCACAGTCCTTTCATTTGGGTGCCTCACTGCTCTCCTCTGGGACCTAAGACAGGAAGCTTCACACACAGGCCCTGTCTGGACTCTTCCTTCTCATGCTCTCCTGGCCCCTCCTGTGCCCGCTGCCAGTTTCTGTATCAGAGCTGTTTCTGTGGCTGCCCTTTGGTGGGGCCTAGCTGGTGGTCTCTAACTAGGACCTCAGAGGTCACAACCAGAAAACTCCCAGAGCCAGAGCTGGAGCCCACAGCTCAGCTTCTGCCCCTACAAAGTCCCAAAGAGGAGGCAGTAGCAGCATTCAGATGCAATCTGTCCTCCTTCTCTGAGGAAGAGAATTCAGAGAGTCATCTGGAGACGGGACCTCCCCAGAGACAGATGGTGAGCAGGGCAGTCAACACTGACCCCATCCTTTCTGAGAAGTCTCTGCAGCAGCGTGACCCCTGGCAGCCGGAGTGGAGGTACTGGAGGCGAAATGGGCCTGAGCCACCCCCTGGAAAACCAGGTATGTTATACCAGGGGTATGGCACTAGCTTCCCAGGCAGGGACTAGGGACTGCATGGGTCTCTTGGGAATCTGGCACTCTCTGGGGGAGACTGTCACATGAGGGGAGTGGAAGTTCCCATGTGAACAGGAGATGCGGATGGCTTGATGTTTGCACTCTGATTAGTGCCTGTGTTTAACACCTCCTCTTCTTTGAGACAGGGTCTTATGCAGTCACAGATGACCCTGAACTCCTCATCCTCCCACCTCTGCCTCCTGAGAGCTGGGAATACAGGCATGTACTACCATGCCAGGTTTATGTGGGACTGGGTAGAACCTAGGGCATCATGCAAGCCAGGCAAGTGTACTCTACCAACATCCCTAGTCAGATCTTTCTTTTTCTGCCTCCACTCATCTGCTAACAGGGTACTGCCTCCAGGTGTTGATGAGAGTCAAGATCGGAGCAAGTGTAGAGACTGGGCCTTAAATGTTAGTGATTGATTAGGCTGTCGTGTCCACATGAGCCCCTCAGTAAGTCAGGGAGTAGAGTTACAGACCATTATGAGCCACCATGTGGTTGTGGTTGCTTTTCCTCTGGAAGAGCAGTCAGTGCTCTTAAACTTTGAGTCATCTCTCTAGCTCCCTGCAGTTGTATTTTACAAGAGGGCTTCAGGAATTTCTGTAGCACCCAAGCTTGGGGATATTTCCTTCACCCCTGGCAGGGAAATAATTAGAAAGACAAAAATCCATCTCTGGTCAACTGAGAGGAAAGGTCTGGAACTCCTGCTAAAATAGTTCTCCAGGTCTCACTAGGGCAAGTCTTGGGAGCAAGTGCATGGAAACAGCTGTTTCTAGAATCTTCCTTCCAACAAGTGACAGTATAACGAGAATGCTCCCCAAATCTAGTGTTCATGCTCACTCTTGACTTCCACTACCTCCCCGCACAGCCTGGAGAAAGGAAGGAAGAACAAGAGGGTTAACCGGAGGGGCCATGGGGGTCAGACAGGCCCAGGTTTCTGTGTTGGTTTCCATTGCTGTGATCTGAAATCTCTACAGTGGACAGAAACCAGTCAAGGGCAAACAGACTCTCGCCCATCCTACACATCTTCCTAAAGCTGCTTAGACCCACGTTCAGCCTCTTTCCTAATCACTGTATTCAAATAGATGCAAATTAGAGTTTTTCCTGTCAAAATAAATCCTGGGGCTGGAGAGAAAGCTCAGTGGTTAAGAGTGCTTATTGCTCACCAGGGAGTGGTGGTGCCCACCTTTAATCCCAGCACTTGGGAGGCAGAGGCAATAGGATCTCTGAGTTCAAGGCTAGACTACAGTGCGGGTTCCAGGACAGCAAGGACTACACAGAGAAACCCTGTGCTTATTATTATTACTCTTCCTGAGAACTGGAGTTCAGTGCTCAGCATGCATACAGCTCACAATCACGTGCTAACCCCAGCTCCAGGGGATCTGACGCCCTGTTCTGGCCTCCACAGGCACCCACATCATGACACACAATAAATAAAGATGGACCTTTTTTATTTTGTGAGACAGGGTTTCTCTGTGTAGCCCTGGCTGTCCTGGAACTCACTTTGCAGACCAGGCTGTTCTCAAACTCAGAGATCAGCCTGCCTTTGCCTCCCAAGTGCTGGGATTAAAGGTGTGTGTCACTACTTCCAGGCTAAAAATGAATTTTCAAGAAAATAACAGCTGGGGCTTGGTGGCACACATCTTTAATCCCAGCACTCAGGAGGCAGAGGCAGGCGGATCTCTGAGTCTGAGGCCAGCCTGGTCTACAGAGCAAATTCTAGGACAGCCTCCAAAGCAATACAGAGAAACCCTGTCTAGAAAAACAAACAAACAAACAAACAAACAAAAGAAAGAATTCTAATAACTAATTATATACAACTGTCTCTTTTGGTCCTAGGTGTTTTGCTGCAGTCCAGGGAAAGATTTAAATTTCTGGAGTTGGCCCATGGACCAACATCAGGAATATTCTAAATCTATACAGTGAATGTTCTAGATGGGGTGTGAGAAAGGGCCACCCTCACCCAGATATTTCTTCCTCTGTAGATCTATTCCTTAGAAGTCTCATTCTCTGCTGTCCTTATTATCTTATTATCTTAGAAGTTTTGACAGGGTCTGGCTATGTAACCCAAACTAGCTTAGTGCTAGGATTATAGCTGCAGATGCCATACTGCCTGCCACACTCAAGTGGCAAAGATGAGATGTGCATAAAGTCATGTGTGAGCTGGGGCTGGAGACAACAGCTGGTGACAGAGCTTTTCCCTTTCCAGTTTTGTATCCTTGTAAGGAAACGTACTGCCTGGCTTATAAGAAGGATTGGTTATTCAGTCAATACTAAGTACCAGCACTCCATCAGACAGTACTTGAAATCAGTGTCAAGTTCCAAAGCTTGACTGTCAGTCGTCAGCTCTACCTGTTGTGATCCTCTGGTATGTGTGTCCTCTTTCCTCTAAACATTGCCTTATGCATTCCCTTATATGGATACAAAGCTAGAAAGAGAAAGAGTAACTGTTACCTGCCATTGTTTCCAGCAACTGCCCCAATAACTGATCTTGGGTTTAGGAACAAGACGTTGCCACAATAAGAAAAAAGACAAGGACAATCAACAAGACAGAGTGTGAATTGCAATTGTGGGGACTATCCAGGAGCTAGCCCTGAAAGCCACCAACGTGAAACCATGGCAGATTCAACCAGAAGCTGCACACAGACAACGATGTCAGTGCATTGGGACAACCAGAGGAACTCCTTAAGCAGTTTTTTCTGGGGTGATATTCTGTTTGAGAATGGTAAAACTATGGCTCCGTTCCAGAAACCCACACATACCCACTGTTTTGCATGTCAGAAGACTTAGAGGACCCTCAAAATTCATTCCAGTCTTCTGGGGGTAAGTGCAAGGAGCCCTATAAAAAGTTTCTAGCACCTATAAACCCCAAGATTTGGGAAGTTGAGGCTGGAGGATTGCTTCAAGTGTGAGACCAGCTTAGGTAACTGTGTACATTGAGTTCCAGGACAGGCTCCAAAACTACACAGAGAAACCCTGTCTTGAAAAATCAAAAACCAAAACAAAAGAAAACAAACAACAAAAAGCCAATCTTTAAAACTATAGTCAGTATATAAGATTTAAGATTTTTCTCCTAGAGGAAGTTAGGGATAATAAGGTAAACACTTGAAAAGGGGTTAAAAAGAGTGGCTGACCAAGCCTTGACAGGAGATTAAGCATAGGTTGTAGGTGAGTGTCTAACAGTACTGCTCCCCTGAGACTTCCTGCAGGTAAGCAGCATTTGGAAAACATTTGTTGTGAGGGGCGCAGGAGCTGGTGGTCCTGCACTGGAACTCCCTCCCAAGGGCCTGACGAACACTTATTCACAAAAGGGACAGGGTGTGCCCACTGCTGTCTTCTCATAAAATCTACAGCTCTACATGGGGAACGCTGTTTCTTTCTTTTTAATATCAATAAAATGAATTCCTTTTATTTCCAAATCTCTTCCTTTATTACCACAATTAACACTTCCTTGGGAAGCCAGTAGTAAGAGCTGTTCAGACAGCACCATTCCATTATTGTTTTCAGGCACACAGTATGGGGGACTTCTATAATCTCAAGTTAAAATGAGCTCTGAAAGAAACAGACTCCAGTTCATAAAGGCTGCCCCCCTACAGCCAGCATTAAATAGGATCAACATATCATTATTAAGGCAATTATAATGCAGCTTTATTCTTCTTGTTACTTGAAAAAGAGTGAAATGATGGCAGTGACGGTCAACTTCATACGGGGAAGACCAAGTCCACACTTTGCCCCGAGTCAACGGCGACCACATGAGTCTTCTTGGTTAAGGGGCTTGAGCCCACAGTGACAGAATAGGTCCCTGGATACACTTCAATGTAGAGGTCCTTAGAGATGTTCTCAGCCTGGAAGGAAAAGAGGCAAGGTGTTCTCAAGACTGATCTCAGAGTCACTTCTGCATCTCTACCAGGTTGCCTTTTTGTGCCAGAGGTGGGGAGGGATGTACAGACATGGGGTCCTGCCTTCAAGGCTCAGCTTGGTCAGAAGATGGCACTGATTTTAGTGATTCGGACAGAAGTAAGACGGTATCTCAGAGTTGTTTTGATTTGTATTTCCCTGATGGCTAAGGATGCTGAGCACTTTCTTAAATGTCTCTCAGCCATTTTAGATTCCTTTATTGAGAATTCTCTATTTAATTCTGTACCCCACTTTTTAATAGGATCCTTTGGTGTTTTGGTAACTAGCCTCTTGAGCTCTTTGTATATTTTGGAGATCAGCCCTCTGTTAGATGTGGGGTTAGTGAATATCTTTTCCCATTCTGTGGGCTGCCGTTTTCATCTTATTGACTGTGTCCTTTGCCTTAAAGAAGCTTCTCAGTTTCAGGAGGTCTCATTTATTAATTGTCTATCTCAGTGTCTGTGATACCGGTGACAGTTTATGCTGGAGACCATATGGAGAAAGGGGAATACTCCTTCACTGCTTGTGGGAGTGCAAACTCATACAGCCACTTTGGAAATCAGTATGGCAGTTCCTCAGGAAAATGGGAATCAGTTTACCACAAGATCCAGCAATCCTACTCTTAGGCATATATCCAAAAGATGCACATTCATACAACAAGGACATCTGTTCTACTATGTTCATAGCAGCATTATTTGTAATAGCCAGAACCTGGAAGCAACCTAGATACCCCTCAACTGAAGAGTGGACAGAAAAAATGTGGTACATTTACACAATGGAGTACTACTCAGTGGGGAAAAAAACAACGGAATCTTAAAATTTGCAGGCAAATGAATGGCACTAGAAGAAACCATCCTGAATGAGGTAACCCAGTCACAAAAAGAGAAACATGGTATGTACTCACTCATTTATGGATTTTAGACATGAATCAGGGGAATGCCAGCGTACAATCACATTGCCAGAGAGTCTGGGAAACAGGGAGGACCCTAAGAGAGATATGTAAGGTACCCTGGAGAAGGGGAAAAGGACAGGATCTCCTGAATGGATTGGGAGCATGGGGGAGGGGAGAGACATCTGGGAGAAAGAGGAAGGGAGAGGACAACAGAGGGGAACAGGAAGGTTGAGTCGGGGGAAGAATAGAGGAGAGCAGGATGAGTGATACCATAATAGAGGGAGCCATTATAGGTTTGAGGAGAGATCGATCTGGTATTAGTGAGATTTCCAGAGATTTACAAGGATGACACCAACTGGCAATCTAAGCAATAGTGGAGAGGTTACCTTAAATGGCCTTCCCCTATAATGAGATTGACAACTACCTTATATGCCATCCTAGAGCCTTCATTCAGTGACTGATGGAAGCAGAAGCAGACACCCATGGCTAAACACTGAACTGAACTCCTGGAAGCCAGTTGCAGTGAGGGAGGAATGATGAGCAAAGGGGTCAAGACAGGGTTTGTGAAACCCACAGAAACAGCTGACCTGAACAAGGGGGAGCTCATGGACCCCAGACTGATGGCTGAGAGGCCAGCATGGGACTAATCCAGGCCCCCCGGAATATGGATGTCAGTGAGGAGGCCTTGGCAATCTATAGGGCCTTTGGTAGTGGCTCAGTATTTATCTCTGACGTATAAATGGAATTTGGGAGCCCATTCCACCCGGAGAGATGTGCTCTTGGCCTGTACACATGGGGGAAGACCTGGGCCCTGCCCTGGATGATATGACAGACTTTAGAGATCCCCCATGGAGGGCCTCACTCTCCCTGGGGAGCAGAGTAGGGATTGGGTGGGGGGTTTAGGGGGCTGGGGGAGGAGGGGAGGGAGAGAGAGCTGGGATTGACATGTGAAGTAAGCTTGTTTCTAACTAAGAAAAAAAGATGGCATTGTTGTTTTGGTAACTCTCAGCCTTAATGCTTGTTGCCATCCTTCCAAATCTGTGAGAATACCTATCTTACAAGCAAGCATGTGAAAACTCTGTAAATGAGAGGATGTTATAGGAACATGACGGATTATAAAAATAGCACCCGCCAGGTGTGGTTGCTCACATGTTTAATCCTAGCACTCTGGAGAGAGAGACAGGCAGATCTCTGTGAGTTTGAGGCCAGCCTGGATTTACATAGAGAGTTCCAGGACCAGGACAGTCAGGGCTTCATAGAGAAAGACCCTAATTTAAACCTCCCCCCCCTCCAACATACACATACACCAAAACAAAACAAAACAGGAAAACCCTAGGTGGAGTATGAGTTAGGTAGAAGGAAATGCTGCTTGGGAATGGCATTGTTTCTCTTCTAAGCTAATAATATGAATGGACACCCTCCTCTCTGTTGCTAAAGCATTGACTTGGAAGACGGGCTCTTTTACGTTGCAAAGTCTGAAAGTAGCTTTTGAAAATGCTGACCTCAAGTGTGTCATAAAGTATGTCTGCTCAATGCCTGGAAGGAATCACAGGCAGAGTTGTCATTTCTTATACCACACATGGGAGACTAATGAAACTACAGGCCAGAAACTTCTATTGCAGGAATAAGTTATATTTGTACTTTCATGAAATTTCACCTCACCTTGCCTTGCTGACAGACTTGAGGTCAACATTTTCGAAAGTCACTTTATGTTGTCTTTCTTACACTTCTGAAAAACTAAAGGTCCAATAGTCTTTAACTGATGTGAGGTAGCAATGACATTGCTGTTTACCAGAGGTCAACTATGAAATATACAAGGGCCTCAGAATCACAGTGAAGGATATGCTCCATTCAGCTCCACACGGCAGCGTTGAGGTTGTATTTGTGTGGAGTTGTGGAGAGATGGCTCAGCAGTTATGAGCACTGGCTTGCTGCTCTTGTGGAAGACTCAAGTTTGGATCCCAGAACCCAGGCAATGGCGATGGCTCACAAAACCCTGTAAATCCAGTGCTAGGGGCCCTGAAATCCTCTTCTAGGCTCTGAGGGTACCAGGCATGCATGTGGTATACATTCATACATGCAAGTACACAAGCATACACCTAAAAGAAATCTTAAAAAAAAAATCCACCTTCATACTGGAACTCCAGGCCACTCAGAATTACCAAAAGCAGCATTAATGAAGACACCCATAGCTGACAGCTTGCACTTGTACTAGAAGCAAAAATTTTTAGTTACTAATAACTCCAGAATATCTGAATCCTGGTTAGTAACAAACTGGATACAAACAAAAAGGGATTTGTTGCAGTGATATGTCTAGTTTCCTTCCTCAGATTTCTAGCTCTTCCAAGTCCCAAGCAAACTACCTAGGCTCATAGACTACTTACTCCTTCATCATGAAAGTAAAAAACTATTTTTTTTCCCACAGAAACATTTCAAATGTTTTGGAACCAATATCACCACATGTATACATTCTGGAATTTCAGCAATGGCTGAATTTTACAAGCCGAGGGTCAGGCCCTCCTGCTGCTTCAACAGATGGTGGAATTCTAGCAGGAGCCAATGGCAGCCTAGCTGAGCCTAGGAAGTGAGCTGTGAATATTTCACATTCTTTCCAACCACAACTATGAGCTGAGGCACACAGCATCCCCCAAGCCTCCAGTGAGGGAAAAGGACACTAAGGAAACAGCATTTTGCACCGACCCTCAAGTGTAAACCTCTCAATTTGAAGAGACCATAGAGCCCACACAAATGGAAGCCAATTGGTAACAGATCAGCCAGCTTACAGAAGGGTAGTGAAGCCCAGCACATGTAGAGCTCTGTACTCACAGGCCAGGATGCCTCTTGAAAATGCTCTGATGTTTGGTAGATGCTTCCTGAACCAACAGATGTCTCTCCTCTGTAGTTTCTCTGTCAAGATAAATATCGGTTAGGACCTGAGCTTTGACCTTCTGAAAACAAAGACATTTTCTCTTATCTTACTAGGATTATTTCCTATGCCTTTTCTCATCTGTCACCTGTTATTAGCAATCTGTTCAGTATATTCAGAACTATTTTTAGTCATGTGTTGTCCATTGTTCCTTTTTTCCCTATGTGAGCTTTGGAGTCTGGCAAACTTGAGTTAAATCTCATGTCCTGTTACTCACTAGCAGGATTCACTTAACTCAGAGCCTTGGTCTCCTGGACGGTAACATGGGGCTCCTGGGTGGAAGGGAAGATTGAAATGCTAAAGTCATGATACCCAACAGACTTTCATAAACACAGTTTTCTTCTCTGCTTCATCTAGGGATGGTATCAGCATGGAACAGATAAAGCATTAGAGGCACCTGACTTTTGTACACCACAGAAAAGGGGAACGTCACTTTGCCACATATACTCCTCACTTAAGCTCTCTTAGGAGAGATCAGGCCAGGGTGGAAAGGGGATTTCAGGACACAGTCTCTGGTGGCTCTTCACATCCCAGAGAGGAACTCAAGGGCTCTTACAGCCTGTACCGAGCCCACACATGTCCCCATGCTCACTCATTCCTGCCATTTTCACTAAACCCTTTCATTCTACTGCCCTAGGATGGCTCATAGAACAGAGGATTTAGGGATTTGAATCTGGCCTTAATTTTGTCATCTTT